ATGCTCATGCATGTGTGCCTTTACTAGTTTTACCATGAAAAGGTTTACTCAAACTATTTTACACAGTCCCTCTGAAAGGAAATCTTATCAATGTGTCACATCATGATTCAATTGTAGTATCTTAAAGTGTACAGCAAAACGATTTGCTTTGAGAAGTTAAAAATGCAAATTCCAGTGTATTCTTGCATGCATATTTCAGACTTAAAATCAATAATGTATTATTAAAGCACACATATGAAAACCAGACTGCAGCGTCATAACTGAAAAGCATTGTATTGTCTCATATAATTAACAGAGCCATATAATTAATCTAAAGCCAGTTCTTTCTAAGCAAACAGGTGACAGAATTAGCCATATGAAGGACTTACTCAGAAATGAGCCCAGCAGAATTGCTGTAACTCCACAACATTCATGTAAGTTAGACTTAGAAGAATGGCTTTTAGCCCCAGCAAAGATTAAAAAAAAAAAGTCTACTTCCTCACGATTGTGAAAGTAAGCTTGGCAGCAGGAACTGAGCACGGTTGTCTGATTCAGCAACAAAGCCTTCAATAATAACTCCAACTGACCACATTACTAGTTAAACATTAAGGTCTTAGAGATCTGCATCTTATTTTTCTACAAAGTAGCTGAAGTCATAGTTCGTACGAATTTAGACGCCGTTCACTAAAATATGTAGGGCCATCTGACTAAAAACTCTGATTATACCCCAACACTATCTATATCGCTCAAAAGCCAGCATATGCACTTCCTGTATATGGGCAGTTTGAGAAAAGGACAGTTAAAAGATACCAAATGTGACACAGAACTAAGTGTGGTATAATAAGATGCCCGATATCCTTAATTCTGGCAAAATTATACCAACTAACGAACAAAATGACAAGGGAGACATTTTAGGCCAAGTTCTACAGAACCCACAGCCTTGGAGAATGTTTTGCTAAGGTATCTCAAAACTGTCCACACTCCTCCTTGCTGCAGGTCTGCTTGGGGAAGCCCATCACCCTTCCAAGAAATCTCAACCTGCAAAATATGACACCCTCCTAGAGCTGCATCATAAATTCCAGTAGGGATCAGAGCTTACATGAATGACATCATTCCATCCCAGAAACGCCTCCATTGTTTTCAGCCTCCACCAGTTGCACCTGGAAGAAGAGCATTTTAAGATGCTCTTTTTCTAGTGTAAAAGAAGTCAGAATTGGGTTTAAATTCTCACACCAGGGACTTTAATGTCCCCTTAAATGTTTTACATATTCCACAAATTATTAAATAAGGAATACAGCCTGGGAAGCTCAGCCTTGGAACACAGTACTCACTCTTCATTTTGCAAAGCAGCTTCCAAGTCACCTCAAACAGCATCAAGAGAAAAACCTAGTCATACGACACATACAAGTTTCATGCGTTTAACCACACCACTTCCCAGCCTAAATACCGACCTAAGTCACGCAGGAACCGCTGAAGACCTATTTTAGTCATTGATACCTACTTTATTCATTGCCTCCCTCATCTTCAGCAAAATGAAGGCAAGACTCTCGTGTTCCTAATCACCCATCTTTTACTCTTGGCTGTCATGTCAAGCCCGCAGCTGCATATTTTCCTGGCAACTCTGCATCAACTCCCACTCTGACGACTGATTCACAGACCAGAGTAAGACCTGTTTATAAGAATTATTCTATTAACAACTTAAAACCAAGCTGCTTTCCCCAGCAACGACATCCTTCCAGAGGCTGTGGCCCTGTCATTTTTATTGGTGAGTTACACTAACATACCCCAGTCCAGATTTGGGGAAGTATCCAGGCTAAAACAATTACTTCTGGTTTAGCTTTTTCTGTTAAGCAAATCATTCAGCTGGGATAACAGGGAGAGTAAGCAGAATAGTGTTCCTGTTTGCAGACACAAAATGGCTAGTAATTCAGGCATATGTCAATGATTTTAAAGGCATCCATGTGCCTCAGTAATTTTGTGTCAAATAATACAAATAAACCCGTTAATACAACTGGGGCATGAGCTTCTCTAGATGTCTCATACTGAGGAGCTCCCTGAGCTGGAGAAGTGCCTAGAAGTTACTGTAACAGCTCACATTATTTGTTCTTCTAGTAAGGGAACAAAATTTCTCGGCCAAAACAAACATGACGGCTGATGGGTCATCTATAGTGATTAACCTATGGGCACTCCAGGACAAAGCAGGTACACAAATGTGCTTGCCTTTCTGCAGATAACAGACGGGTTTGACAGAACTCAAAATTAACGTGAAGGATAACGCAGACTTCTTCAAAAGCTGCTCTATGACTGACAAGTTATGCCATCCCCATGGCATACATGTGGCAAATTGGTCCTGGAACACCTAATTCCAGCAGCTTTTCAGCAGTTAACTGTTAGGCAAAACTTTTACAGGCTTCTGTGTTTAAGAACAGACATGCCAGAGAATTATAGGACTTGAAATAGTCACATCTTCCCCCTTTCCCCCCCACATTAAAGGAAGCAACCCACAAAACCTGTGAAGAAAATAATTACATGGTTGAACAGCTAAGTGTGCCTTTGAACAAGGATTCTGCTTTTTCAAAGCCTTGACTGAAAAGTGCTACTGGCAGCTGTGCCATACACACATAAATGTGGTAAGGAACGATTAGAAATTACTCATTCTCCTTCACCCCAAACTACTTCCATATTAGCAGTGCTATAGATACCACTAATGCAGCAGAAATTGTTTCTGACCATGTCGGTATTTTGACTGATCAGGCAATTTTTTTGTAAGACATACAAAAACACCAGAGCGTATTTAGTTTTCCACAATTCTGAAAGTGGTTACCACGTTCTAGAAAAGTAGTATTAATCCACACATGCAGATTAAGATGCCCTTGCATTGTAAACACAGTATTGTTCTCAAGTTTGCTGGGGAAATGTTAACTCCGTTCCCAACTTCTTAATTAGCATGACCTTATAGAGTATATACTAAAAAGATGACAAAAGGAAGAGCTTTTTGGGTATCGTTTCTCTCTCAAAATCCATAAAAATAGATAGCAAATAAATGGTACACAGCAATTTACAAAACCAGAAAAACCAACTCTGCCCTGAGCCCTCACCTAAAATTTTATTTTAAGATTCCACTTTAACACACACTGTATAGTGACAGTGTGTCCACAGAAATGGGAAAGAGGAGCAAACGCAACATTACTAGGTTTATCACTATATCTTACTGCAAAACACACCAACTGCACAGTATAGCCAAGTGTGTATGAGAAAGAATTCCTATAGCTCAGCTTGATTTTAAAACTGTAATTTCATGGGTCTGCAGAAGCTTGAGTGATGCTTAGGTGATTTTTAATAGTTTGTAACAAGTTTTAACTTCACAAAGCTTACGATTAAGTCAACTTTAGATCCACAGTTTATTTTCTTACCTTTGTACTTACACTATAAAAATGGTAGAACATATATATGCAAGTTTGCCAATATGAATGCTGATAAGCAGATGGATGTTGGGGTTTTTTTTCCATACTTTGAGTCAAAATGAAAAATTACTCATATTTACCTTTCAAATAACCAACTGTTGCAATTATCATAAAGTTCTGTTAGTGCATTCCATTCAGCTCTTCCAGAAAATCACATACAGCAAGCACCCCAAATCAGCAACCCAGCTTTGACAAAAGTCTCCAATGGAACCTGTGATTTTCCTCACAGCTAAAGCAAGCTAAGAATGATAACTACATGCTCTTAACCCATGGAAGTCACCACTTCACAGTAAAGTAATTTCTTATCCTATAGAGTGTGATAAAAAGGGGCAGACACTACATATGAATCTTCATGAATGCCAAGAGCTCCCATTGTCAAGTTGCAACCACGACCAGAGCAGTAAGATGAGAGAAAAGGACATAACCCTCCCCAACAACAACGTCTGTCAGTTCTGAACAAGAACCGTGCAAGTTAATGATTTGCATTTTTCCACTATACTGAGAAACAGACAAGTAGTGGCCATAAAAATCTGACTAATAATACAGCTGAAAATCAATTGAAAAGTTACATTAATTCAAACTTATGAAATCACATTTTGAAAAATATATGGCTCAATTAAGAACACCAGCACTCCCAGGAACTCACACGCTACATATAATCACATTCATTACAGAAGATGAAGGTACCTACAAACCAGCTCTTTATCACTCATTAACAGTGAAAAGCAGCGAGACCTTCATCTCATTCTTCTAGTATCTTCTGAGGTAGGAAATGAAAACAAATTAATCCAGCAGCTAAGTCTTGTGTATAAAGAAGCAACAGCAGAGCTTCTAATGAAATGGGGTTTCCATAGCGTCTGATTCTTCCAAGATGTGCAGATAATTGATTGGGAAAATCTTGGTTTATGAGCTTCGTTTAACTTGAGAGCCCCTTTCAGAACGAAGAGGGGTTGGAGGAGTCATCAGCTACCCTGCCAGAGTAGCCCCAGGAGAGTAAAGCAATCTTATTTTTATTTAAAACAATGCTGAATTTTCTTTTTAATTACATACGACTCAAATAGCTCTGAAAGGATCAATATTTCAGAAGCAAGATCAAAAACAAACCAGATGGATATTAAAAAACATTATAATGCAATCTAAATGAGGCTTTGCACATTTCATTAGGTAAGGAATTTTTAAAATATTTCTTTCTCATCATCAAATCTTTTCTATTTCACATAAAGCAGAATTTTAGTCTGCCTCATTACAAGCAGTAGATGAATTTTTCAAGTAAGCAATTTCTTCCTGAAATGCCAAGCCTTAAGTTAACTTTGTTCTCCTTCAACCAAATTAATTTCTATTCCCCGTACAGGCTTCATACTTGTAATCAGATTTAAAGTTAAATAACACCGAAGAAAACTGGTTTCTGCTGTTCAACCTTATGTTACAAATAAGTACCATATATACAGGAAATCCTCCTACTTTTCACTTCAACAGTAACACCTTACAGAACTGAACTCTTGTTTTGGATCACTCTTCGCACATTCTTCATTTGAGTACATAACATGTATCACTTACCCTTCTAACCTGACATCAGGTAAAGATCTGTTGAGTGCAATCATTTCACTTGCCATTAAGTTAAATTGATTTATTTTAAACATTTCTTTCATTTTTTCTTGCTCCTCTTTCGGAATGACCACAGGCTTTCCCATCTCTCCAGGTCCTTCATGTGGCTTTTGTATGGGTTCTGGAACTAAGAATAAATAAAATGTTGGTAACCACTTTCACTCTTGCTTTTGTTTTTTTTATACTTTATTTTACACTGTAGGAGTGCTCCTGCTTAAAAAAAAGTTCTAAACCCACCAGTTTTTGAAGTGAAACAAAATCTTCATATCTGTGGGGTTTAACAGGAGTAGTTACGTGCTACTCTTAGACACCAGAATTCATTACCAAAACCAGTAAGGGTTTAGATCTATCCATCATCATATCCTAACTGACTTTACTGTTAAAGTTCTAGAACAACAGACCTTTATATCCCAGACCGTTCTTACACACCGAACTTTTCAGGAAAGTTGAATTTTCCTTTACAGAGATTTTAGTAAAGATTAAATTGTTAATTTGAAATACATTTCCACATTGTCATTTTGACAGAATGTTATCGGCATTTACAGTTTAGAAATTATTTCTCTTGTGTTTACTAACATTATTTTTAGTCAACATAATTACATTTTGCAGTTTGATGTTAGTATTAAAAACAGAAACATTAATACTGGACATATTTAAACCAAAAATCTTAAATATCACATAACCAATCAAACTGGCAAGGGAGAGAAGGAGGACAAAAGAAATCCAGACGCCTGAATATTTTTTTTTTTATAAAGTAGTTATAAACCAAAATATTTTTTTATAAACCCTCAATGTTACATTTTCTTGACAAATACCATTTTACTTTTCTCCTGAACTGAAATGTTCTAAATGCTTGAATACTGAATTTTCTACTTTAAAAATTCAGTTAGAATTATTTTATTTATTTATTTGTTAATAAAAGTTAAGCCCTAAACAGAGGAACAGAAAGTATTAAAGTAAAGGTACAATGTCCTTGTTAATAAGCCCATCTTGAAATTATCTTTAATTTGCATCTAGGACAGCACAATGTAATTAAAGCATATGCATAGATCAAATAGCCATGTAAAGAATAAAAATAAATTTAAAAAGAAAAAAGGAAAAGGCTTCTATCCTTGCTGAAACACTAAGACTTAAAATACATACTTCTAACTGAAACATTTTGCTAGTTTGCATTTAGCATTAATTAGTTACAAGCACAATGTGTTCCTTGAGAAACTTTCCTTTTCAACTACCTGCAGTAACTGCACTAGTTGCACCGACACAGTAACATTAGCACAGAAGATCCTCCCACTGCAGAGATGCTTTCTTTTTACCAAACTCCCCTTGACTGCCAGTTGAGCTATATAATTCTAGAAGTTACCAACCAGCCACCCATACACTGAAAATTGATAGAATAACTAAGGCCAAGCAGATCCTGAGAAGATTGATTCAGGCACCTTTTTTAACCATAGGCTATAATGAACAAGCAGTTTTCCACATACCTCTGCCTCCTAAGAAACTATGGTTGAACCCACATCAAAACTTGCTGATTTGCAACTGCATAAACTTTTAAACTATAATTTGTCTCTTTTGGGCAGTAATTAGCATGAAATTATTGTATACAATAAGTCAATTATTTGGGCTTAATATATTCAGTTTGGTTTTATTACATGGACTATCATAACTATTTTTATTCAGTGTATAGCAACTAGTATATAGTTTCACTCAAAGTGATTAAATGAGTGTTCAACGTACCTAAAATGAGCAAACAAAAGCCATCAGAATAGTTACGTTCACCATGTTTTTCAGCATTCTGAATAGTGAATGTTATTTGCTACCCTACCCTATTTGCTATTTAGAAGAAAAAAATAACTATCTGTTGGATTTACATTTCCAGTTGTTTCTTAACTTCAACTAAACCAGTTAAACTGAATGGCTAAATTAACCAGAACTCATCTTTCACAATTGCAGATCTTGCTGTCAGATGCTCATTCAGCACATCAGTGAGCTGGATCCACATGTACAAGTTTCACAAATTCATCAGTTGAACTTCTAAACTTTGTTAGCAAACATAATCTACTTGATTACAAACTGATTTACCTAAATAAAGTACCCCTCATTTACTGCAGAAAAATCCAGCAGAGCTGGATCCACACTAGATCCACAGATATTTTATGGAATTCACTAAACTCAAAGACAGGCAAGCTTGGTGTGCAGGCAGAGAGATGACTTTCCAGGAAAGTTAGCCATCTTCTCTCAGGTTTCTGCATTTACGGTAACCTGTTTTCCCACAAAAGCATGTAGTTTTCACATAAACACAAACCAACAACACTCTCTCAAAATGACTAATACACACTGTTGAAAATTCAAACCGCAGTGCTTTTCTGTCAGTTAACTATGAAAAAAGTACTACCTTTGAAGGACCGTAGACAGGTACTGATGGCATACCTAACAAACAGAAATTTAATTTACAGCTTTAAGTTTTGGTGCTAAATGAATGACAATCATCACCTGATTCAACGAGAAATCTAGTAATGTTTTCCCAGCCATTTCTCATTTGTATCAGTAAACCATTAGTTTCAGAGAGGGCTTGATTTCTTCTAGATTTTTATGAAAAAAATCAGGAACTCAATGCCTATGGACTACAAATTCCATTTCACTAGACAATATGCATGATGAAAAACAGATACTTCAAAAATCTGACACCATCTAAAGCCAGAAAGAGGGATGTATTCTTCCATGACATGTCTTCAGGGGCCCCAACAATGGTAAACTGACCAAAACAAAGTCCAGTCACCTTCGGAGGAACCACCACAATTATAAGAAAGCTGCCTGGACAGGTAAAAGTTGAGAGAAGTTTTGCTTCTTACACACACCCCAGCCTCCGTAGAACACCACCGATGAACAGTTAAAATCTGTATTTTGTGTCTTGAGGCTGCTCACTTGTGTTCTTCAGAATTTTTAATGCAGAGGAGAATATTCAGAACCAAGTCACAACTTTGTGATTCCATCTTTACCAAAGAGCTCAAAATTCAGAACACAAGGCCTTGAACGGCACTTAACAAAAATGGCTGGTGCTGGTTTAAATTTGTTATTGTCCCAAGAAAGAGCCATAAATACAAGTAGCTTGGATCATAAGAGTCTTGAAATACCAACCCTAGGTCTGTAATTTTTTTTCTCTCAGAGCTTTTAATAATTTCAACAAGTAGAATGCCCCTTGAGCAAAAAAAGGGGAAGAAAGATGAGTTTAGAAACTGCATCAAGTGCCAAAGTTGGAAGTTCCTTTGCAGTCATATCTTTAAGCAGCCTGTAACTGGGGGTAAGTAGGACTCATCATTTGATCTTCATTTAAGTCAAGATCTCAGAGCTGACATACAGGATTCTTACAGAAATAAAATGAAGCTACACAAAAATAATCTTTATTAGTAAAACCACAGTACTATCTGGGAATTTTTTTTGTATAAAGGAATGGTCCCTTTTTCACAGAATCATAGAATGGTTTGGGTTGGAAGGGACCTTAAAGACCATCTAGTTCCAACCCCCCTGCCATGGGCAGGGACACCTTCCACTAGACCAGGTTGCTCAAAGCCTCATCCAGCCTGGCCTTGAACACTTCCAGGGATGGGGCATCCACAGCTTCTCTGGGCAACCTGTTCCAGTGCCTCACCACCCTCGCCGGGAAGAATTTCTTCCTGACATCTCATCTAAATCTCCCCACTTTCAATTTAAACCCGTTACCCCTTGTCCTGTCACTACAGGCCCTTGTAAAAAGTCCCCCCCAGCTTCCTTGTAGCCCCTTCACGTACTGGAAGGCTACAATAAGGTCGCCCCGGAGCCTTCTCTTCTCCAGGCTGAACAAGCCCAACTCTCTCAGGCTGTCCCCATAGCAGAGGTGCTCCAGCCCTCTGATCAAGCTCTAGACTTACAGGATTTGAGTCCAGAGGAAGGCCACGAAGATGTTTACACTCATCAGTAAGTCCTATTCCAGACTGTGAAATATAAATTGTAATGCCAAATCCCATCTGGAAACAATAATGATCAACTAGCTATCCTATGAATTGCAGGTTTGGAAAAAACTACTACATAACACAGTCAATGCTTACCAAGGTTCAGTGTTTTTTCTTTCCAACTCTTAACAACCCTTAAACTGAGAGCAACAAGTCTTCCATCAGCAACAATGACTCATGAATTTGACTGATGAACTATCAGGAATTATAAAAAGGGAACCATCGCCCAGAACATGTGTCAACAGAAAGAAGATGTGTCAAAAACTAATGTCTTCGTTGGTTAAGGTGGAGGGGGTGGGCAAAGGCTTAAGCCTACTGCCAAATCATCCCACAAAGTCACTGGATTCCAACTATCCCTCCTATGGCATCACTTTAGTTCCCCAGTCCCGTACTGCCCAGACCCCATGACAGGCCCCCTTTTCCCAAAACATCTGCACTTCAGCTCTTAGTCACAGCCTGGTCTTGTGCCTGTCCCTTTCCCACTTGACCTGCCCCCTCATCACCACACTCGCATCACTTCAACTACCAACCCTCAATCTCTATAAGAGACACAAAGGCCATTATCCCACTCATCTTACAGTGCCCCAGAATCACATGGACAAATTTCTCCACAGATTCAGACTCACATTCCTTTACTATTTCTTATTTTGAGCAATTTGTAAAATATAACAGTGGTATAGATATAATCAAATATTAGACACAAGCTGAAGCTCATGATTAAAATGCTAGTATCTTATGCCATCAATAGCAGGGAGAAAGATTTTTCCCAAAGGCAATTTAGAACATGGCTTTAAGTCTCATTCTGAAAAAAGAAACTCCCTCCATTTTCTGTATTAAAAACTTAAGGAAAACGTCCCAAGTTCACTAAAGTCTGATCTGTCCAAAATTATCCTCAAAATCCTTTGCTGCTGCAGAAGTATCTAAAGACTAATTTTTCCAACTAGGCAAGCACAGCCTAAAATAAACTTACAAACTCTTCAGAAAAACTTACTCATGTCGAGTAGGTTCATTAAATGCCATGGAGTTCTTCCACGAATTGCAAAGAGAAGCTATATACCAGAGTGGCATGGACAAAGAGACTATGAAATTCAGAACACTTACATAATTTATGCTGAATCAAGAAAACTAAATCAATTATGGAAATGAATAGGGGCAAAAAAAGTGAAGTGAAAAAGCAGATTTTGATAAAAACTTCACAGAAAAAAAATAGCCTCAATGTTATCCGAGAAGATTCTAGGCACTCAGAGTGGGAATGTATCCACTACAGACTCCAAGCCAGTAAACTACTGGAACAAGAAAGAACGTCCAAGATCAAGCATGCAACTAGGTTGGAAGGAAGAGTCACATGCTTTCTAGCAGACAGGTTTCTGCACACACCTTATTACAAGCCAGCTGTTAAAAACAAAACAAAAAATCCAAACAAACAAACAAAAAAAAAAAACAACACAAGAAAAATGTACAAACTATACATAAAGTTTTGTTTGGTTGGGGGTTTGGTTTGTTTACAAGTAAACTATAAGGTATTAAAAGGATATCAAGGATTTTAACACACAGCTAGGGAAAGGCCAGATTGAGGATTGTACTCAACCAAGTCAAACTAATATTGCATAGGAAAAGTCATAATACTCATCTTTAACAGCTGCAGATTTCCCCTCACCTGAAAGACCCCCCAGTGACTTGATACGTAAAGTCATCTGAACTTTCAACATCATCAATATGTCAAACCAAGTTGGACATACACTGACTATATATTGTCAATATATGTTGACAACATATATTGATGTCATATTGACAACAGCAAAACAAAAAAAGGTAATACTTTTCTCAAGACAGCTCTAAAACAACCTGTCATAAATTATTTGCTTAGCATTGTGTAAAAACTTTGCAGTCCCTTCTGCAAAACTCAGGTGAACTAGAACCTCTCTAAAATGTTTGCATGCAGTTGTGGGAACAACACTTTGAAGGTACTAGGCACAGAAATTCTACATTCCTATACATTGCTGTCCTCCGCATAGATTTATCGGCCTTTTTTCTCCATGGGCAAAAGAAAAACCAAAACAAAACTAACATTTCCCAAACATCTCTGCAGTGTTATTCTGTAACAGAGCAACATCGTTGTTAAAACAATGCAGAAAATTTCCCAGGAAGGTCAAAGTTGTCCATACACGGCATCAGCAGGTGAACAGGTTCATCTTGAGTGTGGTTGGCAGATGGAGTTAACATGAAGCATCGCTATAGCAGCAGTGAAACACACAGACATACCCTTTCTGGTGGGAGAGACACCACACTACAACATCAGACGATTCACAGATGAACTGGAGACAGCACCCACTTGCAGTTCTAAATGCCCGTGCTGAGACACTGCAGGGATGAGAATTCTCCCTGCACCAACCCTTTCTCCCATGTGATCAACTATGATGACCACCCTAAAATAAAGCTGGCAACAGAAATGGTAATGGCTTTCAAGAAAACCCACACTTAGCTCATCTATCTGGTACCCAAAAACTAAGATGGCAGTAACAAAGTCCAAAGCTTATCTGAAGACCTTTAGCATTGAATAATACAGCTCTCATTGCAAAGAAAATATTACATACATAAGTATTTGCGTGTGTGTGTGTGTGTATCTATATATCTATATAGATATCCCCATATCTATTGCTTTTTACATCCAAGTTTATTCTATTTATTTCCATAAATTTATTTTCATTACATGTCCCTTATTGCCATAGTCACCAAATTCTGGCTTAGGTGGGGTGCAGGCGTTTCTGGTTTGTTTGGTTGTTTTTTTTGGGGGTGTGAGGGGTATTTTTTATTGGGGGGGGTGGGGTGTTGAATGGGGTGTTTGCTTTTTTTTGCTGGGGCAGGGAGACATGTAAGCTTGGTTGTTGGTTTTGTTAGTATTACTACCAAGTCCACTGAAGTTAACAGCACCTTTCCTTCCTCACAGGTGGAAAATTTAGAACACGCTTTAGACTGTATTAACATAGCTTACATTCCTGAAGTGCTTGTTGAGTAATTTTATTACTTTTCCATATACATTAGTGCTCAAAATTCTACATTTTAAACATTTAAGTCTGCAACACGCATCTTGGGCAACACGCTTAATCCCCCTAGGCATTCAAAGAAACACTGAACATTCTGCAACACCTAAATGCTGATGCAATACTGTATTGTTGAGGAGTGAGGGGGGGGTGTGTGTGTGTGTGGAAAAATCAAATGTTTAAAAGGGGTGCAATTTTAAATGAGCATATTTCAAAGATTACTCAGACAGAAGACTTACCATCTCCAGCAGGCAGGCCTCGTTCTTTTTTCTCATCGCATTTGTTGCATTCACTGAAGTACAGCAATAGAAACATATCCAGAAGAACCCAAACCAAAGAGGTGGCAAGGACCACCTTGCAATATGCAAATTTTTTCATGGCACTTTAAGTCAAATACAAAAATAAAAAAGTATAAATAAAAATATCAACAGGTTGCTTTAATCCAGTTTGAGAGACCACGTTTTTTATCTGGGGAGAAGAAAAAAAAAAAAGTCACAAAAAGTTACCTGAGGACAGCAGCTAAAAGCAGAATTTTAACTACATTTAAAAGGTAACAATTTAATTAGCAAATGCTGCATGTATCAATATGAATGCTCTATGAACTCCAATGAGATTAAGTGAACGGGGTCAATTAAAGCAGCATCACTCTAGTCCTTTATTACATTAACATTCATCACCCGAAATGTTAAAACAAGCAACCAAAACAGAGTGCTCTGCTGAGCCACTGGAGAAGAGGGTAGGCACACGTAATGAAATTAAAAAGAACTTTCTGTATCCTCTGGAAATCAGAGCAAGCTAAATGAATGAAAACCAGCAACATCTCAGGAAGCAGGATATCAATGCTGCAGGAAGCCCACTGCTAATATTCCTCATGTTCCTCCCGTGTAGTACACACTGACTTCCTGGGCCCATCGCTAGGAATGCTAGTCTACACAAGCTTGTAGTTTACATAAAGCCTAATGGCACCAAAACCAAACATCCCTTTTGGTAAACAGCAGGCAAAGTGAAGGAAGTACAAACCACTGCGATCACTTACTAGGCATTCTAAAGGTATCATCTAATATTTTTGATGCTTAAAGTGACTTTAATGGTCCAATGCTTGACTGTAGAGCAAACTTTTATCCATCTCTCAACATGTAGGCATTAAAATATTAGAATGCCAACCTTTGAAATTCTCTTTTCTGCCTACTTAAACAAGCAAATTCTGTTACGAGGATTGCTTATTGCCATGACTAACAATTGGGTAGGGCAGAATCAACAAGAGCTTTGAGCTTGTTCACTTACACCAAAAATGATTTTTTTAAACCCACAATTTCCCCACCAGTGCTGACACGTTTCAATACAAAGTACTACCAAAGTATTTTCCAGTGGGAACAGCATACTCGTTAAAACCAGAATTGCAGATATTCTTAATTTATAAAATGAACAGAAATTAGGATTCTTCAAAAACGCACCAGAATTTTAAGATTGACATACACACAGTTCCTCTGAAATGCTTTCAGCTTAAACTGAAGAATTTCTTGGAAAGCAGAACTTTAACCATAAGCAATGATGATGCACAAACCACACACAAAACCTGTATCATTAAGACTATCCTTCCTTTAGCATTTCGTTGTCATCATTTGACTCCTGCCTACCCCTCGCCCCTACTTCTTGAGGAAAAATACTAGGACATGCCTCTTCTAAATACATCTTATTTCTTCTTCTAAGTGGCATGGATTTGGATGGCATAGCAAGCCATAGGAGCCTGTAGCCTTCCACTTGTACAAGACCAGAAGGGTGTATATCCCTCTGCTTCCTGCATGGGTGTGCCTCAAATGCCAAGAAAGACTGTTGGTTTGGGATAATCTCAGTTTGCATCTATATAGTTTTGGTACACAGGGATGACTATATAAAATTCAGAACTGCAGAAGTACCTGTAATTAATAACTTGATGATAAAATAGAAGATGCAATTACCATAATGAAACATTGAGGTATGTTGAGAAAAAAACCTAAGGATTGGGTTTTTTGTGGGGGGTGGGTTTTTTTTTTATTTGCTTAGGGGGGTGTGGTGTGGTGTTGTTATGTTTTATTTTTAAGTAGACACAAGGATGGGCCTGAACTCTGTATCTTGGAGCTGTGCTATAAGGCTCTATAAAACCATCAGCCTTGTGATCAGCAGCAATGAAAACAATAATTTATTACAGACTACTAAGAGAAGAACAGAAACCAAACCATCACTATGCCAGTACACAGTATCTGCTTCCTCATCTTGAGTGCTGTATGAACATTCAGCCTTGTCATTTCAAAAAGGATATAGAAGGATTAGAAAGGACAAGTGAGAAGGGCAAAAGGATGAAGACAACAAGGAATAGCTTCATTATAAGAGGTAAGAGAAGAGAGTAGCATTCCTCCTTGGCTGGAAAAGACATAACCTAAATCAAGTGTCAGGTCTATAGAATCAAAAGCTGCATGGAGATGGCAAATAGCAAACAACTGTTACCTGTTACTCCTACTTCTTATAATGGCTGAAACCAAGTGAATTTAGCAGCAAGAGGTTAAAAAACAAAAGGCAGGTATTCCCCACAACAGGGGAACTGCCTGACACAGTACACTGCCAGTGCTGCAAGTCTACTCATCAGTTATTTCATACCAGATCCTCGCCCCTACATCAGGCAGTCCCTGACTGGGACTCTCAAGCCACTGCGTGCTGGGAGGGTACAGAGAGGAAATACCATTACAATTTCACCTGTTCTCTTCCCTAGATTTACAACCACTGGCAGAAATGAACACTGCATACGGATGAACTCTGCCTGATGTGGTATGACTGTACTTAAACTCTCCACACGGTAGGTTTCTTCTTTTGCTCTAATTCAGGACACCATAGAAATGATTTGGCAAAGAACCAAGTCATACCACCAGCCCGCTTGTACTTAAAGAAAACAAATGCTCATTAGAAATAGCATGTTTTAAAAGAGAACCGAATAAATTCTTATAATCTCAGACTTCATGATGTTCAGACTGGTGAAATATTAGGCTATAAAAGGAAGTGTAAAACACAGGTGCACAGTACTTAGGGGTCCTCAAATTATCAAGACACGAGGAGAAAAACCCTAATCTAGACTTTCTGTCCATAAAAATACCAACTGTATCAAGTGTTTTAAAATGCATAGCCTGGCACTATATCTGCCTCTAATGCAAGAAAATTCCTTGGAGAGTTCAGTGAAATGTCAGAGACACTTTGTGAACCCTTTAAATCCTCTGAGGGTTCAGAGAAGCGATTAAGAGAGAGCAATGCAAAAGTTCAACGCACACGGGTTACCATCGATAAGGCCCTTCCCTGTACCTTCAGACAAAGGCTCTCTCTCCCTTCAGCATTTTACTCTCTCATGAATTACACCTATTTTTTACCAGTGGTTGTATGACTTCCACTCAGGCAGCAGAGCAGTGCAGCTCTGCTGATGCAATGGCCCTTAGCACACCAGAGCTTGACCCCTTCCAGAGAAGGACCCTACCATCCAGGCCTGGGGCTGTCAGAAATGTCAGGTACCCCTCCTCTAGTGCTGCAGTGGCAGTGGTGACCTCACCCACGGGAGGGGTGCGCTGCCTGCACTTCTTCAGCGGAAGGAGCTACGGGACAAAGCTGGCAGACTGGTACACCACAAGCAAGGGCAAACCGTATGGAGACCTTGCGGTGCCGCAGGTCTGAGCCCCAGGAGGCAAGGAAGAAGAGACAGCCAGGCACTGTACTCAAAGGACGAGCACATGGAGACTACCAAGATGGGGCTGAGTGAGGGACGAATCCAGGAAACCGATGACTTGGAACAGAAGGAAAGCCTGCAGGTGTGCATTTCTAGTTGTACTGCCTGGGATGCTGTTGAAAGACTGATGAGTCTGCCCAAGTTCAGGTCTGTGCTGGTTTTAATTAGGACAGAATTAATTTTCCTCCCAGTAGCTAGTATGAGGCTGTGTGTTGGATTTGTACTGAGAAGAACAGTGATAACACTGATGGTTTTAATTGTTGCCAAGCATTGTTCATATCAACTCAAGGACTTGTTCAGTTTCTGATACCGCCCCTGTGTTCCCAGCTTCTTCTCTACAGGAAGGTGGGACAAAACACAGCCCAGACAGCTGACCCAAACTGACCAAAAGTACATTCCATGCCATCAAATGTCATGCTCAGTATTTAAGTTGGGGGTGGGCTGGGAGCCACGTTGGTTAGCTTTTTTGTTCGCTCTCTCCCTCTTGTTGAGGCTCGCTCTGACCCTGGTGCGATCTCTTTCAGGCTTGACTGGGCTCTCCAGCTCTGACTACTCGGGACCTGTCTGGGCATCGGTCAATGGGTATTGAGAAGTTGTATCTTTCTTTTTTATTTCCCATTATTTTCATTACATATTATTGTTACTAGTGGTAGTATTATTTTCCTTGCATATTATCAGTAGTAATACTAGTATTACTGGTATTGTTAGTATTATTAGTATCACTATTTTATTAATTTATATTCAATTATTAAATTATTCTTATCTCAACCCACGAGTTTCCCTGTCTTTTCCCCCAATTCTCCTCCTCCATTGGGGGATGGAGGAGTTGAACAAGTAGCTGTGGGGTACTTCATTGTTGGCTGGGATTAAACCACAACCAGCTCTTAGACAACCACCCCTTGGGTACTCATCCGTGCGTAAATCAATGATACTGCCAGGTGTGAACCTGAGCATATAAACAGCGACTGCAGAGTCCGGGGGGAGGGAATGCGTAGAATGTAGCTGGCATGGGACCCAGACACTGCCCTCAACTGCTCCAGTGGGAGGGCAAGATCCAGGCAGGCATGTGCACAGCCTGTCAGCACCACGCTGTGTGACTGGTGTCACAGAGGCAGGCTGCTGAGACAACTGGCCCCTCTGAGGGATGAAGCCTGCTGGCCAGCATCTGTGTGGCATAGTGAAGCAACCAGCACCGTGGAGACGGTCTTGCACTCCCTCCTGCAAAACACACAGAAGGTGGAAGCATACAGAAACACGTCCTGACCATGTAGGGAGGTACTTGGGTAACCCTGGGATTCAAGTTCAGAAGAAACAAAGACCAACGAGAAAAGCACCTGTAAGGATGCTGGCAAAAGAAAGGCTGAGAAAAACACAGACCCACTGCTCAGTGGGGCAGCAGACCTGGTGACAACAGGCATGGAAAAGGCTGAGATACTCTCTGCCTTTTTTGCCTCCTGTTTTATCAGGAAGGTTTACTTTTGGGTGCCCCAGATTTGAGTCCAGCGGCAGTCTGTGGGACTGAAACTTCACATTCAGTAAAGACAGATTGAATCAAGGATGTCTTATCCATTTGGACATGTGCATCTCCATGGCACCAGATGGGAAGCATCTGAGGGTGCTGAAGGAGGAGACTCATCTTATTGCAGGGTCATTCTCTGTCATCTCCAAAAGGTCATGGTGATCCAAAGAGTTGCCTCAGGACTAGGGAAAAAAAACCCAACCTATC